GCCGCATTCCAGTGGCAGGTCGAGTGACGCGGCTCTCAGTGCTCTGCCCCCTACTCCTCTCTGCTCGGCACCCTTACTCCTGTTCTCTCAATGGAATTCGCCATAAGTGCTCTCTTCAGAGCCGGCGTGTTTCAGTAGTCGGACAGGTGCAGGAGCACTGTCATCCATTGGTAGAGCGAGAGTGCTTTTGCTGCCGATAGTTACAGCGCTTGAACAAAACGACGACTCTGTGTCGTCGTTTTGTTCCAGCGCTATAAGTATAGTCATGCCATACCAACCAGCCCAAGCTGCCACGCTTTTGCTGCGCCGAGAGCAGCCAGGAGCAGTTTGTTCTCGCCTGAAAAGCGGAGTAGGCGCAGTGCGACGAGTCACGGGGTCCTTGAACGTCACAGCCTCCGTATTTTTCTTCAGCCGGCGAGCGCGGTGGCAAAGGGGCAATGGTAGCAACCATGTGTAGTTTTTACACCACTGTTTTGTACGGATGGCTACGATGACAGTTGGACGTTTGCCGAACGAGTCGTTGCGCAAGCTTGCTAGGTATCAGGATAATGAAAAATATGTGGCTGACCTATTTCACGCGCATTTCGCTGCTGCCACACAAAGAATATGCCGGGACTTGGAATGTTTCAGTCACAAGGCCTCCCTACTCGTCACCTTCTCACCTGCCCTCCGGGAGCGCGGCGCATTTCAGTGACAGGTTGAGTGGCCCTGCTCTCAGTGCTGTGCCCCCCACTCCTCAGTGCCTTGCCCTTCTACTCCTGTTGTCTCAGAACTCGCCATAAAATTTTTACGAGAGTCTAAAGGACTTGAGTGTTAAGTGTAGCTTAATTCAGTTGTCTTATTTAAAGTTGTGTAAATTTCTTTTTGGGTTTGTTGATTTTAGTACTCTAACATTTTTTTATTTGTTTGGTGTATATTTCGCGAGCTTAAATTAGTCTGCAATAACTGAACAATTCATTATTAACCCATTCCTTCAATAATCAATTGTGGGGTACGTAGTTTACTAAGCAAGGCACCGTCTGATTCATGGCCTATCCCCCGGAGTGCCATTTAACCAACCGAACGACTACGCGTGGGTCGATCTTCAGCTCAGCGCTGCAACGCGTACGCGTGGCAAGACCTTTAGGGTTCCTCAATGAGTGCTCCTCAATTTGTACGCGATGATCAAGGCACCGTAGCGCGCACCCTGTAAATGGCGTTATATTTTGTTGTCTGTACTCTTCCGATGCTTAAACGCTACACCTACAAATTCCCATTATCATTTTTGTTTCTTGCACATGTGCTCTCGAGATTACATCATCTTTCTATTTATTCAGCGCTTCCATCAATGAATAAACAGAGTGCGAGTTTTTCAACGTGTCGTTATGCATGTAACACAGGGTGGAAAGTTGGGCACATTGGTAGGCATAGGCGTATCAGCTGAGGGGGGGGGGGGGAGAAAGGGGGCTGAGCCCCCCCCCCCCCCACTTTCGACAGTGGTTTCTGTAGGCTGCAGCTGGAAAAACAAACAAGTAAGGCGAACTTTTCCGTACAGCAGTAATCACTAAATTATGTTTCAATGGAAGAATAAAAATGTTACGAGGCAATGTTACAACATAGTGAAATTTTTCCAACATTTCCTACATTTCAATACTGTAGTATTGCAGAGCAGGCAAGTGCAGAACAGGGGTTCCAGATTATTACATCACTTGCTTATGCTTTTATTCTGCTGTGATTGTGGATGCAATTACGGATGGGAATGAGCTAACTTTTTCGGAGGCTTAGTTAGAAGCGAACTAATTGATTTTTACTCAACCTGAATTGTCTTTTACAGCTCAATACATGTCAGACAGCGAAGAAGCACACACACATACAGCGCTGCTTATTTCTCTGTATTCTTCTTTCTCTCGGCAAGTATGAGCTCACAGAGATGTATATGCACACAAACTACTGAACACCATTATGCTGCAAGCGGAAATATTTTATTACACTCATAATTCATCTCGGCAGCTGCTATAAGTAGCTGCTGCTTACGTGATTGGCAGCTAGCCTACTTGAATTACATTTAGAAGGAGATGCTCTCCGTCTTCGTGACAAGTAACAAGCAGGCGATTTTGTGGCTCACAGAAAGTTTTCAATGCCAAAGAACCAATGGCAAACAATATGCCCTATTGAAAATAGTTTATTCTCTTAATTTTTACGTGGTCGTGCATAAGTGGTCATTACGCGATGGATCATTTTCGCGTCATTTGTTGCCTTGCGTAACAAGCTTACGCTGTGTGCATGACAAAGACTCTTTATACCAATCATATACAGCTAACAACTATTTCGAAAGGAAGCAACAAGGAATAGTTGAATGTTATAATTTTCCACATTTTGTTCTTTCAAAGGAAAGTTTTGTTTACATCAAGTGCATTGGTGCATTCCTGCAGGTGCCTGAGGGCCCCGTAAGAAATGTTCATACAAAAACTATGAGTATACACAAAGTACTACGTCCCTAACACCACAAATTATACATTTTCAAAGAAAAGGGTTGAGAAGTTTATAATAAGTTAACCGTAATATAACAATAGCAATATCATTAATAATTGCACGCTCCAGAAAACGGCTTGTTCAGACTATTAGCACACAAGGCAAATTGTAATACTTACAAGCCTGAATATATGCAAGGAAGTGTAATACTTATGAAAAATATAACAGCAATCATTTGTTGAGAAAACGTGGCTGATCTCTCTGTTACAGGAATCGGCATATAACACAAAAGTGAAACACGTTTTTACAGAGGTAATTGAATGTCAATTTACTGTTCATTAATGAGGGTTTGTCGAATGTATGTTTTGGTGTTTGAATGCAATACCCTCCTTTAACGTGGATGTATCTTTGTTGACGCTTGTTACATATCCATCCCGGCGACTAACATCCATGATAAATTTATTAAACTATTGTGCTATCTGCAGATGTTAACTGCCAAAGCACAATCAAAGAAAGAGACATGATAGCAAGATGAGCGTCGCATATTGGACGCAGAAATTGGGATAAGGGCGCCATTCCTTCGTTTTGGCCTGTTAAAGTGTGATTGAACTTCGTGGTATCTAAGGAAGCATGTCATGTCACATCTGTGTATGCAAATTCATATCAAAGTGCGAGCGTGTCCATGACGTTCTCTCTCTTTATATATATATATATATATATATATATATATATATATATATATAAAATAAGGGAAAGAAGTGTATACCTAAGGGCTCGTTTTTCCGTGTTTTAACACAATATTAATGAGATATAACAGACAGTAATGCCAAGGAATGTACAGGGGAAGTTATGAAAACCAATGGAATGTAAATAAGAAGAAAGAAAAGTGGATGAAAAAATTATTTTTTCATCCACTTTTCTTTCTTCTTATTTACATTCCATTGGTTTTCATAACTTCCCTGTACATTCCTTGCATTACTGTCTGTTATATCTCATATATATATATATATATTATATTATATATATACTGTCTGTTATATCTCATATATATATATATATATATATATATATATATATATATATATATATATATATATATATATATATATATATATATATATATATATATATATATATATATATATATATCCCGGCTGCCCCCCACTAGTGAAAGCGTTAGTATGCCATTGTATACATTTGTGTGTGTGTACCACTGATGTAGTGAGAAAACCTAACCCCCCCCCCCCCCCCCACACACACACTCACGAAGAAGTTGGTATGCCATTGTTGGTAGGACATAATGAATGTAAGAAAAGTGCACCAAAAAATTACAGACAAGGAAGGGACAAACAGCACCAACTTTCAAAAAAGTTCAACAGCAAAGTAAATTAAAAATAACTGTGATATACATGTGTGAAAGAAGGTGAAGTTATCAACTGCATTAATAGTAACCTTATACTACAATCGCAGCAGCACTGTGTATGTCCTTCACCAGTCTGTTGAGTTGTTGCTACATATATTTTGCATAACACACTTGGCCAATGTGCCTGCTTCAGTTTAAGCTCACCAAAAAAAATTGTTGGCCTGTATAGCAATATTCATCAATCGCGATTAGGTCTACAACAACAGAGCTCGATCTAGATTAAGCATGTTGCACAGTTACTAAGCAGCTGGATTGCAACCTTGCTAGAATCTGCACCTTCCAGAATAATATTAGAAAAATGCTAAAAGGGAAATAGCAACCTAGCTCAATGAAAACACAGAAGCAAGGGTGTTCAGCAAAATTGATATATTATTCAAATTTCTGAATATTTGCAAGTAAGCATTCATGATCACACCATAGGTTCAGCTGCAGAAAGGATTCAGGTGGGGTTATTCCCCCTAAAATTTTTGCTTGTATGGGTATATGTATAGATTTACACATATATGGGGGTTGCACTGCTCAATGAGGTCCTCACAATAAAATGCTTTGATGAAAATGCGGCACTGCATAGCATTGTGCTTCTTTTTGTTTTGCTATACTTTTGTATAAAATCAAAGGAGCGCATGTTTACAAGCCGTCACAGTTGAAAAGTCGGGCATTTCTCCTTTCACAAACCTATATTTGCTAAATGGAGCAGAGGCCAGCAACAAACTTTTAACGGATGCTTACAAGTGCTTCTGTTAATTGATATCAATTGTGAGGAGAACATTATTTTATAGGAACATTATTGAGGGGAACAAAACAAGAGAGAAGAGTTTAAAGTCATTTGGACAGCATACCAAGCACAAGTTCTCATAGACAAGTAGGAGTATCAGCGGCCCGAAGGATTTCTACATGCCTGTGTGCGGTTTGGCTATGTTTGTGTGCAACAATCGGCCTCTCTGGCATCCGAGTGCACTCTGTTGAGAGAGACCATATTTGTAGTACAGCACTGGAGCCACTTCAGCCCTGTGTGAAGGCACTAACCAACTGCAATCTTGAACCACTTCCCGGTTAACACGTACGCTTTGTGCATGATGATGTGCACTACTGCTTTCTGTGATGCCAAGTGGAAATTTTTATGCAGGATGCAACGTGGAGAATGCTAGCTATGGGCTGACTATATGTGCAGAAAGAACTGCACTAGTAAAAGCTGTGTCAGAAGGCCACAGGAACTTCAAGGCGATAGCTATTGCATCGTAAGTGAGCATTTTTGTGTCTATAAATTTCAGACCTTGTGCACCAAGACGCATAACCTGGCTTTCCAAACAGCAATCTGCTCTTGTGACTAAAACACTTATAAAATGATTTCAGGTCATGCAGTGAATCCTAGGTGTGCAAGCTTTTCTACAAATGCTTAATGAGAGCAGATTATTGCATTTATGTTGTGAAGCACAGCCTGCTAAACTAATGTTGCTACAAATGACAAAATATTGATGTTCTTATGATTAATACAACTTCAATAAAAAATAGCTCATGGTACAAAATTTAGAATTTCTAGTTAACAGAAAAGTTTATGTGCCCAAAAAACTCGTGACAATAGGATTCAATGGCATGCATAATGACTGAGCTTAATACAAAGTTTTTGAGACGTGTATTTTAATACTTGAACTAGAAAAGATTTCACATATGCCTAAATTGTTTCTGTATGCTTACCTTTTATTTAGAAACATGAATGACCTGACAATGCCGTGTGGAGCATGCCGACAGTTTATAATAGAGGTGGGTATTGCTGCAGTTACATAACTACAAGCTGTCAACCAGTGCTGATATCATCGTGTGCAACTTTCTCAGCACCATGAAGCTATAGAATTAATTTAGCAAAACTCTTGAAAATGAGCATTCCAGGCCTCTAAGCTTCCACTATCAGTACTAGTTCAACAGATGCAGAAGCACATTCAGGTACCTCATTGCGCAACCTCCTCACACAGTTACCTCTTGTTCTCAAGCAAACAAATTGGCTTCTGCAGCTGGGGCACTCTCCAGTCCCACAATCTCTCAGGAGGCCAAAGTGTCGGCTCACAGAACACGGCTCTTAGGCCTGTCATCAGCAAAGGATGCTCACTGCTTATTTTGGCTGTGTTCCGAGACAAAGTTTAGCAATATAAAATGCCTAGAAGCACAATATATGCCATGCAGTTACCAGTGCAGAAGAGAAAAAGCTCCACTGCTCTAAGTAATAAAAAAAATACTTAAGCCTTCAATCCTTCGTGCATTCCAGTAAGGCGAAAGCCATCATTTTCCTTCTGGTTAACCGCTTGTATTGATACCTCTCTGCCCCCCCCCCCCCCCTCCCTCGCACACACATTGTGTTCACCTCACCCAATGTGGCAAGACTTTTGACCAAGCAAAGGTGATATTTGATCACGTCACAAATTTCGGCAACAGGGGTATTATGGTGACATCACATGTTCACATCTATTACGACTTGTCTCAGATGTGACGCCCTCCAATTTTTGGCATCGCCAATGATCACTTGCCAATTGGTGAGGTACATAAGGAATTTGCCTTGATCACACACAGCTCCACTTTTAAGGTCAAAACCTAAAATGTCTCGTTAAAAGTGACAGTCATCGTAGTAATCAAATGTCATGCAAGATCCTGAAACAAGTTGTACAAGGTGTGATGTGGTGTGGTGTGAACATGGCATATGATGACACAACAGCATCACATTGTCGCTTGGTCAAATGTGAGCCAAACCTGAAGGCAGTGCATGAAGTGACGTGCAGAAAAAAGGAAGGTCAATACAATCAACAGAGATGGAAAACAGGTACCTTAATTCTTTCACCACAGCAATTCATGTTCTGATGTTTATTTCAAATATTCTGAAAAAGATATATTCAGGCAGGTCCCACGCATTATGGAAAGTGGTTTCATGTGAAGCAGTCAATGAGAAGATCTGCTCATGCTGTTTTTCATTTCTTATTACTGTGAGGCAAGCATACAAATGTGGTTCAATGTGATTGTGTAAATCGAGTTTTGTGCATAAATTGCATGCTTACCAGGCATGTCGACTACACTGGCACCTAAAGTAAACATTATTAGCCTATTAATATTGCCTAATAATAAAGTTTATTACTGCTTAAATTAAAGTTTAATATTCAAGTTTAACAGGTGCCCACTACGACACAGTGATTAGCATATAAAATAGCAGCCACTGGTATATTCCTCCAGGTTTGAAAGTGAGAGTAAACGCTTTTATTTCAGAAAATAACTTGGGAAAGGTGTTCTTAGCCTAGGACACCTTGAGCTAAAACATCACTTGGCTATAGCAGTCATTAGTCACAAAAGCACGTACATATGCAATGTTTGCTACATTTTTGCAAAAGTGGATAGCCAACACTGCAAGCACAACCGACGTTGCCCAGACATCACATCTTTTCCTGAAACAGGTGCTGGTGTGCCTTTGTGGTAAAATCTGCATATCATACTTGGCTTGCTATTCATCGATGAAGCCCTATGTGTCTGTGCTGTATGTCGTTGTTATCAGCCGCATGCGTTGCACTGCTTGATTACCGTGCCCAAACCCTCAATTCGATTCCAGACCGAACTGTGATTTTTATTTTTTTTTGCATTTATTGGTTTTTTTGCACACCGACAATGCCACCAGAATCGGCACTATTTTCTGTGACACAGGATCCTTAATGCTATCGCGTTAAGATTTCAAAACTCAATTCTTACAATGCCAAAGTTGATATAGGCTATCAATCATGCATGGCGTGTAACTGAATTTCATGGGCTATGAAATGTCTGCATTTCTCTATTGAACTTGTGGCATCCCCCTGCTTTAGTGGGCAAAGCAGAGCTGAAGGGGTTAAGTTGAAATTGCCACTGTACCCATAGAAAAAAAATGTTCACTTGTAGGAAGAAGTGAGAAAAATAGTTGTGAAGTAGCAAAAGCTGACAAGGCCACCTTTTGTCGCAAGTGTGCATGTTTCTTTTTTCTGTGAGTGCAGTGGCCACTTTCTTGTAATTTTGATATAAGTCATTCCTTGCACCTCTCTCTTGACAAATGTGTATGAATTCAAGAACTTGTATCTGTCAACTACACCCTTTAAAAATACTGGAGCACAGACTAATTGCCAAGTAAATACAATCTTTTCGTGCTTGTGCGTACCCCAGCACATATAGAGGAGCTATTCTTGCCACGATGTACCACATGTGTAATTATCATAAGTTTACAAAGTATTTAAAGGGGCCCGGCAACACTTTTTGAGCATGGTCAGAAAATGCTATAGATTGGTAGTAGAGGCTCCCAACCTGGAATTCACAATAAATTATCAAAGTCAGCTAAAAATTGCTGTCTCTTCTCTCGAGAAACCACGCAATATGCCCGAAAATCACACGTAGTAAGCCCATATCTATCAGTTATTGGTTGATTTGAAAATGGCGCGCTCACTCGTTACAGAGATTGCCGCGGGAGGCTGCTACTTGCCCACGCGCGCGCACGCAATCACACTGAAAAAGCCGTGGATTCGAAAAAAAGAAAAAAGTAACGAGGCACTCGTGACGTTTTTTTGTGGCCCTGCCATCTCTCCCTGCTTAGATTCCGGCGATTTCGACAGGACGAGAGAAGAGAGAATGCAATTGCAGCATGCGACAAAAACTCCACTCCCACTGGACGGATTCTTAAAATTTTTGCGGCATTGAATTTGTGAGGCAATAAGCTCTTCCACTGAATTCATTCCATGGTTACTTGAAAAACTGTTTCAGGGCCTCTTAAAAAAAATACTGCACACAGAGAAAAAGATTACCGAAAAAATATGTGTTCAGTGAAGTTTTTCTGACAAATTGGCTTTCTTATGCTTGTGCATTCTGCTAACATATATTTTCTGCTCCGTGACAGTTCGGCAAAGACATTGTAATATATGCTGCTGCTGCTGATGGGAGGGTATTGACAAAGAGAGCTGATGAACTGCTCCCCTTGTCGTTTGGAGCATCGGACTTGCCTTCAAAGTGACCTTTTGAACAGTATTCCATGAATTTTGAAGCATCATTGTTGTGTAACTTGTTATGAAAATAAAAGTTAACTGTTCATAGAACATGTACATATTTGAAAATGTTTCATTAAAGAAGCTATACATGTGGTGCTGCTCATTTTACGTCATGCTGTATTAAGCAGGCAAGTTGGACTACTTTGATTCACAAGACAATGCCTCAAGTTACAATATGAACATGTAAATTTTTTTAAATGCGGAGCATCTAATACTCGAGGCTTGTAGTGCGGCGCCATCCACAAGCTTCCTCCTCCTTCTTCCACCATCTGTGCATCCCTTCCTCCTCTACACACCGCGCGCGCTTCACTCCTCCACCATCTGTGCACCCTTCCTCCTCTACACACCGCGTGCGCTTCTCCTCTTCACGAACATTCGCTAGCTGTATAATGTAGCGCGCATGCGCCGTCACGCTTCGAGAACATCGGCAGCTGACGCGCGCGCATGCGCCGTTGCGCTTCTCCCCCTTCTCAAACATTCGACAGCTGACAGTGCATGCGCCATCGCGCTGTATATATACTCAAGGTCGGTGCTCGCTCGCTCAGTTGCCGCTCGTCGGTTGGTTTGTACGGCGCGTCGACGTCCGAGGTCGCAATGATCGACGTCCCTTCGACCAGCGCCGGCCAAAGTGTTGGCGGAACCGCATTGGATAGTCGAATACATGGCGTCGCGACACTCGCTGAAACGCGCAACGCACGACGACTGCAAACACCACCAGCCGACCACCATTCGCGGAACCTGCATCGACCACGTCTTTGCAAATTTCGACCTACGACCGCTGCAACCCAATCCACTCACTCTTCACTTTACCGACCAAAAAGCCATCGTGCTCAAAGTTCGTCGCAATAAATAAACACCGCCCTTTCGCATACGTGTCATACGTGTTCACTCATTGAACACCCCTCCTACAACCACGTTAACCAATTTAGCCAGCGACCCAAGTAAGTCGCAATTTAACACCCCATTTCACAACCACGTTAACCAATTTAGCCATCGACCCAAGTCAGTCGCACTTTAACACCCCGTTAACCAATTATATGCTCCGCATCCTCCTCAGTGTTCCCCCGAGGGAAGCTGTGGGCAATTTTTTTTCAGTATGAATGCCTCAAAATACTAAGAAAATTCAAAAGCTACAGAAAGTCAACTTCACATTGTAATGCACTTGCTACTATTACTAGCAAATGAGAATTGTCATATTAATTAGTGAAAGTAGACTGCAGTGATTTGGAGCTGCTCTTGAAGCTATTAAACAGCCACTCTGGAACAGTTTTGGGGAAGTAAAGTGTACACTTTTGTAGCTTTAGAAAAATACATCATGAATAAAAAAAAATTCAGCAAATCTCGCGTATACCTTAGGACTGAAAAAGAGTCAAAGAGGACTCTTTTTCGAAAAGAGGACTGATTGTCAGGCACTGAAAAAGAGACACACTCAATCAAATAATATATACACAAAATATGCAAATAGCATGGAAATGGCAGACTTGCAGCCTTGCACAGCAGTCAAGTGGGATGGGCACTCTTGTCATCCCACCATGAAGCATGTCACTCGCAAAATTTGTTAAAGAATTGGTGTATCCCAAAACCATGATATAACGATGGATGCTGTCATCTGAGAACTAGCGTCTTGTCTATTTGCTACTTATTTACAAGTACCTCACAGGCTCTGCATTGTAGTATGATAGTTCTTGACTGTTTTAATTCGTTTCACTGGGCATAAGCACCTGGTGGGAATTCAAACCACAGTAGTAATCGACTCAGTGCACCCCACACTCGCCTCAAAATTCAAAGGGGTGTTCAATGAACAATGCCTAATAAGTGCAAAATAGTAAATTTGTATGTAAATTTATGTGTGTGGGGCTCTCTGTCAGTTTGGCAACAGCTGACAATGTTGGAGTGTCAATTGAAATGCCTCTCGTAACCAGTATGGAAATTCTGTGAGGTAGAGAACAGAACAAGTTTGTTCCACTGGTATGTTACCTTCCATATCAGCGGGAACTTATTCACACATAAATAGCTCTTGCTGCCATGCCTTAAGCTCCTCGAGCTTGTAGTCATTTATGAATATAAAACAGCAAGCTCATCTGTCAGTGGTGCTGTGTGAACGAAGCACCCAAAATGCTTTTGTGCGTGATTAACACTTGTCAGATGATGGAATGATTGCATTTATATACCTGGAAGCAGTCACTTTATAACAATGTCTAACTCAAAAGGTGCCGAGCCTGGGCGCATGTTGCTTTGGAGCTCGAAGCACGTCACTTAACGCATGCTCTCTTTCCTGTTTCCATGCTCTCTTTCTGAACAATGAACAGTGCAACCAGTAAAGTAGTTTAATCTGCTATTGCTGCTAAGAAAACTGCATGAGTAGAGGCTCGAGGCTGCTGATGACTGAATACTGCTGCACTTAATTTACTATAAATGAGCACTATAATCACTGCTTAAATTCAAGCGGCTTTCTGAAGAAACAAAACGTCATTTTGTGCCTGCAAAGTGCCAAATGCTGGCACACTACAGCACACAAAACACAACAAACTATGATGACAAGCACCGTTGTCATCATTTGTGTTTTGTCCATTGAGTTCTTTGTGCGCAGCCAGAATTATGTACCAACAAGCTACTCCCCATCAAATGCTGCCTCAAATGCTCAGTGCGGCACTTTGCACTATAGGCATAATCTTACACGAAATAAAATCAATAGTTTATACACACAACTTTTGAATCCTGCATGTATGTATAGTATATGAGATGAAAAGTAATGTTGATAGAATGACAAAAAGTCGGGCTAGTGGGTAAGTATTCGTCATAAAAGAATTTATGGCATGCAAACAAGAACACAAGGAAAGAGAACAAGAAAAAAAAAAAGCCAGGTCTGTGCGGAACGCGCAGCTCAGTCACGGCGAAAGCTGGTAGAGCGGCTGTTCAGAGCCTTTTCTTAAGTCTTTTTGGATAATTGCTGCCACTTGCTGGGTAACCACTACTCCATAAATAATCATAATGTTCGTGTAGCATTCACTATGCTATCCTTCATCATTTTTCGGAGAAGCGTGGTATCTGCTACACACTTGCTAAAAATTTTGTGCAATTTTTTATGCTGCGACTGACGATGATGAAGAATTATGCCTGAAGTGGATAGGCACCACAGTTAATAAGTGATCAAGAACAATTTTTCGAATGGCTTGGAGCATTGGACGACCCACTCGTTAAGCAATTCACATTGTTTGACACCTGGTTGTTCTTTTGATGTTCTAAAATGCTTTATTACTCATATTAACTCAATTTCTTTCTTGACATCAAGCCTGCCTAAGCCAGTTTAGGAACAAGTTCTAAGAACAGGCGTAGCTCAGTGGTAGAATACTGGGCTGGAACGCAGCAGACCTGGATTCAAATCCCATTGTCTCCTTGGTGTTTTTTTATTTACAGATTTTTTCTACTTCTTGCGATACTGATTACGGACACCAGCAGCAACGGTGGCGAACAACCACAGCGCCACGGGTGACCTGTGTTCAGATCTCATAACAGCTTTACGTTGTACTTGAACTGCTATAGGGAACTGAAGCTCAAGCTTGCAGAGCGACGACAACGCCGCGCCTGGCTCTGGCGAAGAGCTCTGGAAAACTTGAGGATAGGCGCGGGAGAGGGCGCAGGCGGGTCAGTGTGTTTCGCTGAAGTGGGAGCATGTGCGAAACGTGCAGAACGTGTTCTACAGTCGGTGCAGGGAACTTCTGCACCGTGCCGTCAGCTTGGTGTGCCAAAACGAGACGCTCGCTGTGCGAAGCTGCCTTTCCGCGATGAAAGAAGCGGTCCCACGGATGCATCGGTGAAATACGAAGTATTGTGTTGTGGGCTGCCACAACAATGCAGACAACACCAAGAGACGCTCTGAATGTGTAAAGCTGTATCAGTTCCCCAGCAAGTCACAGCTGGTGAACACAGCCGCATTCGCGAAAGATAGAGCAAGCATGACACGAGAGCCAAAGGGAAAAAAAGCAAAAAAAAACGAGGCGAGCACTTTAGCTTGACTCGCTGTGGTTAAATCTCAGCTTGCTGCTTCGCGGTGAAGTCAGCGGGTCATGCTCCCGTGGCACGGGAGACATGACTCTAAAAATTCTCGGGCATTTTAATGCCACGACCGTATAACTTTAGTTGTTATTTATTTCTTAGCATGCCTCAAATGTTTGCACATGACAGTACACGGCTGCTACTGCTAGATAACACATCAAAACAATAATTATGCGGTTTTCATAAACGTCAAAGCAGCACATGGATAGAGTTTGCGGCTTCATGTCGGCAGAATGGAACTTACCTCGAGGCGTATGTCGTACACGGTATTGTCACGGACTTGAGAAATGCATTTCCCAGTGACTCAGGCGTCCCTGTCTTCTTCCGTCATCTGCTCCACATCATAAACTTGACCAATGAGCTTTACTTCTTTTGTTAGATTCGCTTCTCGGAAGAGCTTGTCCAGCTGAGAGATCTATCAAGTCGCACTGCAGGCGGCACATTGTGAGGTGACTCAAACACACAGCGCGCTCTCTGCACGAGCACGTATGCGAGCAGCAGTGCGTTGGCGGGATGGGAAAACGGGCGATATACATCCCCGATTTCTACCTTTCTACCCGAGATGGCGCTGCCTGTCCAGAGTAGCAGCGCCACCATGCGATATTTTGGCTTCCTATAAACGGTTTTCCACAGTGATGAACGGGCGCTGCCACGTTTGAACACGTGACATAATGGCCTTCTCCTTTTCACTTCTTCACTGTCGTCGATAGATATGGAGTTGAAGGCCAGCAAAGCGGGTGCAGCGCATAGTCTGCGCCGCCTGTTTCTTTTATTTTCTTTCTTCTCTTCGGCACTGTGCCGGGTCGCCTTATGTTGAACAGAAATTAAGTGCCTTTTTCTTCTTCAATAATCACTACCACCACCATTTCTCACCGTAGGCTGCAGGGTAACATTCACCACACGCCAGCTACATCATGACCGCACCGCCGAGAAGAAGGCTGTGGTGCTTTGATGCGGTGGCGCCATCTAGTTTTGCATAGACAGACTAGCTGCAGAAAACGGTCTATAGCACATTACGAGAAAAAAGAAACGGTTGAGTTTACATATGAAGCAGTGTTGTCTCTTTAGTTCGTTCTGTGCCTTTTGTCTCTTTAGTTCGTTCTGTGCCTTCTCTCTGTGCACTGCTTCATAAGTAAACATGAACCATCACTAACTCGCCCAACTTTCAACGTTAATGAAGACACAGTTGAGCAGACCAACAAATGAGGACAGACTGCTCTGTTCTTTTTTGTTGGTCTGCACGGCTGTTTCTTCTTTCCCGTAATGCGCTATACTAGTTCGTTGTTTTAGTCCCTTCTCTTTTATCTATGTTTCAATGCCTCAGGTCCTTTCATAAGCTACTGCCTCAAAAACATTAAGTATTTATTTGGCGCACATATGCGAGAGAAAGCTTCAGTGGGGATACTGCTGTGCATCATAAAATTTGCTCCAGAGAGGGACAACTAGGAGAGCTAATGGACCTAGCTATTATAGTATACCAAGAATTGGTATCAAATATAAAAAGAACATGCAAACATGCCCAGCTGTTGATAACAATGTACACTTTATCTGTAACTCTGACGTCTAAGAGCTCAAAAAAGAGAGAGAGATAACCATTTACATTATGCAGAACAAAGATGTACAGTTCATCCAACAACAAACAGCTCCCTTTCTAGCACCTCTCAACAGGACCTCTCAAGACGCTTGTGGACGCATCTTCTTTTCCCCCGTCCCATTGGTTTCACCAAAACGGGCACCTGAAATTACAAAATGACAATACTCTTGAAACCAAAAGCTTCAAAAAGCACAGGATCTTTCATTTTTTGAAATTATATCATGGTGTACATAAACAAGATAGAATGAATCGTGGGGCCCATCTTTTTGTTAAACACCATGCAATGAAGCCAACAAATGACTGTAGATACAAACTGCTGCTGATAAAAACAGGTATCTGCTGGCTTAAGTAGATGACATAGATAAGAGTCATCTCTGACAAAACCATTTTATTAGTTATAGAGTTGAAGCCGTTTATAACAAACCTCCATATAACTAATTTCTCGATGTAACGAAGTTTTCCTATTCCCTGCCATTGCTCCATAGAAGCACACGTATTTGCGACCTCTATGAAACAAAGAAACAGCAAGAGACAACCTTGACATAACAAATTTTCAACACAAACAATCTAAAAATTTTGGCCCAGATTTTGTCATTTTGACAGAAGCATGAATCTTGCGAAGTTGCCCCGCCGCCGCCGAATCGCGAAGTGGCGATGGCGCTTCCGTAGCCCCGGCAACTCCCAGGCAAAAGCGAGCGCTCGTTATTGTGCCCGGGTGTGCGCGAAGCGGGCGGGCGAGCCTGCGCTTCACGAGTTGAAATTTCCGCCTCGCACTCGCGTGCTTTTACCCGCTCGTAAAAGTTGCGATGCGTGGGGGCATGTTATCAATTTGGTGTTGTTACTGAACATCGTGGCGACAGCCAGAACCCGTGGAGAGTATCCGTGTAGTTGCTGCCGTAATATTAATGCAGTTTTTTTTACTGCTAAGTAAATGCTTTGGGTGAGCTTTACCTTCTGTTCCCCTTTTGTTAAATCTGTATGTTTATATTTTGTGAATTTTCGTACCGAATCTGCATATAGCAAAATCCACTTTATAAGAAATTTTTTCTGGGAATTGGTCAATTTAGTTATCTCGAGGTCTAAGTGTAGTGTGCCAAGTTCTTTGCTAGTGGTGGCTCTGCGTGAAAAATATTAGTATGAACCAACATCCACCTTTCGCACTATTTGGGTAAGATTCAATTGACATCATTTTGTGTTGTGCTGAAATGACTTACAATCACAACAATTGAACTCTGGCACTACAGCGCAAGAACCACCGCATCAGTGCCCCTTTGAATTTAAGATTTGCAGGCACATGTATGGCATAGTAATGGTTTGGCAGATGACTGTCTCGAGCCAAGCAAATTGCAAAGTCAGTGAATTCTGGTCACACCCCGCCGCGGTGGTCTAGCGGTTGTCTAGTGGCTGCTGACCAGCAGGCCGCGGCATCGAATCCCGGCTGCAGCGGCTGTATTTTCGATGGATGCGAAAATGCTGTAGGCCCATGTGCTCAGATTTGAATGCGTGTTAAAGAACCCCAGGTGGTTGAAATTTCCGAAGCCCTCCACTACGGCGTCTCTCGCAATAATATGGTGGTTTTGGAACTTGGAACGTTAAACTCCACTTATCAATAAGTCAATCGTGAGTTCTGTTCACAGTGCTCTGAACTTGTGCAGAGGTGTGCAGTACACCATCACAGTTGGGCGAGTGACGTAAAATGTTTGCCCATCTGGTGGCGGTTCATCCTAGATGAAACTTTGTCTAAGGCTATATGTATTTAGTGCAATGTTTAGAAACAATGTAATACCATTTATGGCAGAAAATTCTGGGGATTTCTTACACTACCCACAAGACAACCTGAAGGAGAAAGCATTTGTAGTAATGCATTAGAAAATGTAACGTCACGTCTGCACCTGACGCCCATTTGGATTGTCACATCTCACTTTGTGCTAGTTGAGCCACCTCTGGCGTAACATACCTCTTCAACTTAGCACACAATCTTTGGCAGAATACCTTTCATTGTGCACCCTTTTTCGTTACTCCATAACCCTCAGCAGGCTAAGTCACATATATGCCACCTCAAATTTTTTTCCTAACGATATTTTCAAGTGTATAAATTGCACATTTGTTTAAGACGTAATCCTACTTTTTGCAGCTTTTGCGGAAACCATGATGTGTGAGACACACGTCTGTAAAAGACGCATACGCTTTAAACTCTGTCAACATGACAAAACACGACGATGCACACACAGTACATTCACTGGAAAATGTATACTAACACATAGCACTGAATATCTGTATGAAAGCAATATAACACTTAAGGCCGACTGTCTAAGGCACAGAGAACCAATATTTATCCCACTAGATTCAAAATCACATTCTTCGGTGCAAGGTCAAAAGTTTGTCTACCTCAGTTGGTAGCGTCACTAGGTTGCCATTGTTGGCCTCTGTGCAACTCTTACGTGTTGTTATAAGTACCTTGAAACACATCATTGGCATTGCCCCTATACAACTTTACAAGGCTTAGCAGGTACACAGTAACGATTGTGCTGCACGGTTAGTGCAGTTAACACCTACACATACAAAATGTAAATGGTGACCGAAAGACTACTGCTGAACTGCAGCGATGCCTCACATGAAAAGTGATGATGACAACAAAGTGGTACCTTAGTTTTTCAAACTGGTATTGTGGGCACTACAATGTCACAATGACACATAGTACCCTTTTGGTACCTTAGTTTTTCAAACTGGTATTGTGGGCACTACAATGTCACAATGACACATAGTACCCTTTCTTACCTATTGCTTCAGTTCCTTGCGTGATGGTCATGGCTATTATTGAGGCCATAATTTCCATGGTTGCTGCATTGCTTGAACAGTAAACAGCCGACATCTAGACCGCACCTACTTCAATTCGGTATCTATCCTTTTATGAATGCCCTTGTGCCCAGTTTTTAATGTACCCGCAAATAAATTATGGACATATTGGTCTCACAGAATCGCATGAAATTTTGCATATGCAAGATGCGCCATTGTATAAGGCTCACAAGCAAAAATATAAAAAAAAGATGCTCCTTATACTCTGGAATATACGGCATGCAAATGCTGCAAAAATGAAGAGTTTCGCAGCTCATGTGCCTTGAGCCACGCACGAAAGGTCATGTGATTTTTTTGCGGCATTCCATATCAGTGCCAGCTTTCAACTTAAGCACACCTTCTCGTAAAACTTTGCCTTCACCTAATGAGCTACAGCTCTACATCCGCAGCACACCAGATGAAAAGTCCAGATTTTTCTCAACAGTAGAATGGTGATGCAGATGTGATAGCAAAACATATTGTGTGCAATGTTTTACTGTAAAATCAACAAATAACACTAGAATTTGTCCCAGGTAGATAATTATTTAATCTTTCTGCAATTTGACACTGTTTAGACACACTGCTTTAAATACCTGATATAATATACGCCTGTGAAATGCATTCTGACAGCTCACAAGGTGATGCCAAAGCCTTATGAAAAAATCGTCATAAAAAATTTGTATTTAATAATACTCAGATCTAGGCAGCCTGCTTAAAGAGAGCATCTGTGATTCACTGACCATCCAATATAGCACTGGCACAAATTTTCGTGAGATGTCGCCTGCTTTATCAAAAGTTCCACTTGTTCAGGAACATCCAAAGTCTCATCTGGTGCGAAATCTCGCCCTGAAACAAAAGAAAAGACAGAATACTGTTGGATGCTGATGCTGTGCTGTGCGCACTACCATGCTCAGCATGACAGCAAGTACAGTAGACTCTCGATAATTAACTCTGATAATTCATACTTAGATTAATGATAGATTAATGACATTAGAGCTCTCAGAGAACGCTTTATCGATCTAAATCAATTCATCGTTTCACTTCAGTGTCTCTTTAGGTGTCAGGTAAAGCATTCAATTAACCTCTTCAAATTTTGGTTTGCACAGCAATGTGTAACTTGGCTCTTCAGATACACTTCACATAAAACAGACAAGATGTTTTTATGCTAAGAAATGTCATGCAGTATCTTCATACAAAGATTTAACCACTTCAGTTAATGTCACTTCTAAAGGTAAGGTGAGGACTTACCTGTAAGCTTATCTCGCACCCTGTTAATTATGGCCAAAGCCTTTTTGTTCAGAGCCTCTGGCTGGCCTCCTTCACTATCTGGTTAAAACAAAAAAAAGTGGGGGGACCGCACAAGAATTGACGTTTGAGTGAGTGGCTACTGGTTGAACATCTTGGTGACACAGCTTTCCCAAAACCACCTCACCTTGGAGCTTTTCGGTTGTGAACATGCACGTTACGCTATTCTTCCCACCATGATTCACACTGCATGCTCGGCAATTGCTGCATGCGAGTTCTCTTGCAGACTCTGTGATGTTATCGAAAAACCATTTGTGGTGTTCTTAATCTAGAGCTCGGCAATTGCTGCATGCGAGTTCTCTTGTAGACTATGTGATGTTATCGAAAAACCATTTGCGGTGTTCTTAATCTAGAGCAAAAACTTCTTTAAAGTCATAATGCATTGCGCATACTTCTCTCCAAGAGCTAGCTCCTGCACTATAGTATACACTTGAGTAACACCACCGTAGTCGTGTTGGAAACACCAGCCCTGCAAAACTCACTTGCATAATTTTGAGTGCTAACAATTTTAGATACGATCGCCCGAAAGATGAGCCACTGGTGCACTAGCCACCTTAGTTTGAAAGCGAGCACACACGAGACAATTTCCAAAAGCACATTTCACCGCTCGGCTGAATCTCACTACAGACATGAGCACGAATCTCGGCTAAAATTGCACCAACACCGTGAAGCACTGTTTGGTGAGTACGAATCACTATGGGGTCAGTGACTGGATGCTTGTTTGGCAGCAGCACGGGGGTCTTCTTGCAGCGCGTGAGATCGGCATTTTCAGTAGGTGTTTGTATCCTCAGAGTACGCTCCGCATCGATGGATGTGTTCTCTTGCTCCAAAGAAAATTTTCCTGCGTGTCCATTGCTTTAGCTCTGGCTCTGCAGAGAAGTGTCATGCTAGACTGTAACGTTCGTCATCTCAACACAGCTGCTCGTTTATTTGCTCAAGTCGAGCTCAGAGACTACGAAGGAAGTGAGGGCTTCCAATCGCCAATCTTTGTGCTGTTTATCCTCATTGAATGACCGGACTGTCTCGTTCTTGTAGTCGTTGTAAGCAGATTGCAAATACTAGTGCTATGGAGATGCGAGAAATGTTGGAGAGAGCACGACATGTCTATGTCAACGCAGCTCGTGCAAAGTTCACAGATGAGAGCAGTAGCAGCACTCTTAAAATCCTGTCCTTCGCATTGCATGGGTCCTTGAAACGTCCGCTCAAGCTTTATGTTGATGGCAACTGGGCCTTGCTGCTGCTCGCGAGGGAAAACTCTAACAAAAATTTTCACATTTGGTCTACTCCCACGAGCAAGCATATGCCGCCTTCAGTTTTTTGGTCCAGAAATGTCCAGAAATTGGCGATGCCCTTATTTTTGTTCGAACAGCTTGTGTAAAAAGATGTTTGTCGCTGGCATTTACCTCAGCTGCTGACAAATGAACGGAACTTCTATGATCTTTATGTCATGTTTAAAATAATTGAATTGATTCATTATCATCCCATTGGCAATGTTCAATCGTTTTCTGGCGCTCTGCTAGCTCCTCCAAGTGCAACTTTATTTCTTTCAATAGTGCGCCCTGATGGTAAGCTCAGTTTCTTAATATATCACCTCTAATGAAGTGCGTTGACTACCATTGTCAAATAATTCTCGGATCTCGAGTCGATTTCGCTGAGCATCCATGCATGGAAAGTCTGTAGTAGTGTCTCTAGTATGTGGAGATGCTATCACCCCCGTGAAGTCGTTAGCGTCTCATGGCACAGACGTGCTGACTGAATAGGCCGCATTGATGTTTAACAAGCTCCAAGTAGTAGGTGGCGCAGTGCGTGCGCGAGCTCACCATCTTCATCATTGTGGTTAGCACAGTAGCGCCAGCAGTGATGCTTGACGGCGACGCTAGGTAGCCACACAGAAAATCTTGTAGAGGGTCTTTTGGCATGTGATGACTGGCGTGAATGAACGTCTTTTGAGAGGGTCCTGCAAAACACAGTGACCGCGAGTCGTGTTCCGTGGGTCCCTAGCGGTGAGTCAGACATCAGCAACGCTGCCTTTGCGTTACCTTGTATTTGTTATGTTGATTACGAGTATTAGAATATTGTATAAAGTTGTTTTAGTGTGTTGATGACTTGCCATGTATTTGATTTGGCTGATGATATCGTCGATGTAATAGTAGTTCAATAAATATTTTTACTGTTTTGGTTTGACCACGTTTGCTGTATCTATTCACTCGGAGAGCGCCATCAGTTCGAGACCACACACTGGCTGTTCAACGACGTGCGCACAGCTGCTGCTTCCCAACACATCATAGTTCCCTTTGAGGGGATGGCTCATAATTATTATTTTTTAAGTACATTGATGAGTTTAGTACGAGAGCCATGTGGTTCGCATCTGGGTAGAGCAAAGCCCAGAGCATGTGGATTGTAAGACAAGCCCAAAGGGAGAGTTTGAGCTGGGTGTCTCAGTCGCCGCCAATGTATTTGCTAGCAGTACTGGATATCGTACCACATGGTCATTTCGCCTGAAGCTCTCTTCTCTTTGACCTACTGCACCGTTCTGTCGAAAGTGTTTTGAGTGCACGTAGTAGGTGTGCTATAACCTGCAGCTGGATGTGTTCTGTGCATCGTCTTCACCGCTGGCCAGGATTGTGGTCCAAACGTCGGGTGAAGGGCATGCCTGGGACCTTTGCAACTACCTGCAGTCCAGCGTCCTTGTCACTGCCGGCCGCAACAACAAGACATGCTGGCGCAAGTGACACTTTCTCACGCGGACGACCATGTTGCCATTGCTGGATCAGTACCGAGGTGATGTTTTCGAGCCAGACAGTACAGTGTTGTCAACCAGCAGCAGTGTTGTGCCACACGGACATTCTTCACGGACATGTGTTATCTTTCTTTAGAGCTTGTGTAGCTTTGTTAAGTTGTCCTTTTTTCATGGGTATGGTTAGAATTAAGGTTGGAGGGATGTGAGGATGCTATTACCCCCTGTAATGTCATTTGTGCTTCGTGGCGCACACGTGTTTTGCGGAGAGGCCATAGTTAGGGTTGACAGCTGCTCAGCAGTAGGTGGCACAGTGCTCGCGAGAATTCACCATCATAATCATCATCATGGCTAGCGCGGCAATGCCAGCAGCGACGCCTGGCAGTGAGGCTGGGTGGCGGCACATGAGACATGACATGAGTGACTATCTTTGGTGTGTGGCGGCTGGCGCGAATAGTCGTCTCATGAGAAGGTCCCATGGGGTATTGCCTTACGTTACGTTTGTCGTTATGTTGATTGGGTGTATTGAAATATTGTATAAGGTTGTGTTTTAGCATATCACTAGCGACGTTTTTGACTCGGCTGATAATATCATCAATGTAAAAGTAATTAAATAAATGTACACGATCTTTTGGCTTGCCCAAGTGCATCTAATGTCTTCGTGTGTTCCGAGAGCTAAGCTAAGGCACCTTGCTTTGTTCGATCACTGCTTTAAAATGTATTCTGGGTTACAAACTATGGTCACATGTTTCAATTTACATATATGACAAGCTACATGTTGACGGAAATCCTTAGCATGATACCCTTTGACTGTGCACTTGAAGCATTCTGCCGGCCTTGGCTAGGCGATTCTTCTTCTCTTGCAAGCTCACGTCAGAAGCATATGAGTCTGTCGTGTGCGCTGAAGAAAGGCGAAAGGAGTAAATACCTTTTTGATTCATTGCGTGGCTGATCAAAGCAGAAATATGTCGCTGATTCATAAGAGTCTAAAAAGGTCTCGCGAGCCCCCACCTCCATGCGGATGTAATCGAGTAGCTTCTGCAGTTCCACCTCCAATGATGCGAGCACCTCGACGTTTTTTTGTGGCTTTGTTATCTGAAGTATTCCACCAAGACATTTCTTCAGATTGGGTTTGTGAGGGCCTCTACGAGTATGGAGACATTGAAGGGCCCCAGGCACCTGAACGCCTTGAGTCCTCTGATGCTGATGTGGACGGTGTCCAATAGGTTGCACAACAAAGCCACATCGGTGGAAGACTTTACTGGCTCATGAAGTATTACTGCTCGATGATCTTCTTGTTCCCAAATCGATTGGTTAAAGGTGCGACGGCATCTCCGTAGGAGCCCTTTATGGCTTGAATGCCGTCGATGGCCTTTGCAGAGTGTCAGAAGGTCCGTCAAACAGTAGAACCTTTCAATATTTGACAGACTCGGGTTTTCAAGAATGGAGTGCTTAAACATGTCCCAGAAAGACTACCCCTGTGCAGGCCTTCCATTGAAGTGAAGCAAGCTCTCACAATTAGGAAGACGAGAGCCGGTAAGCCCGTGTCTCACCTGACCTCCAAGGGCAGACTTCCTGCAGTGGCGATACTTTCTTGACGTCGTTAAGTGCAGCACTGTCGGCAATCCTTGACGCTGACGCCTTGAGCTCATCCAAATGATAACAAAGCAACAACATCGAGCAGCAGCATTGTCATCATATTCTGCCATGAAGACATATTATTCTGTAACTTGATCATCCGTGAGGTGTCCATTGAGCGCCCACAGACCGTCGTTGCATGCCTTTGGCCTGTTGTGTACAATTTCATGAGGCTAAATTGTTCGATTTCATGAGTTGACATGCTTCTCTCGTAGACACGTGAACAGAGCTCACTGAGTCATTCGCTTGCCTTTGATAAGCTCCTTCGTAATGGGTGAAGCCCTTTTGCCGGGTCACTTGGATTGCGGAATCCCGAGTTCCTGAGCACCATACAATGTGGAATTAAGGTGCCTTCACCGATAGTGTATAGCAAAAACAGAGGGTTTATTAATCCAACGGCATAAACACATTCATGCTAGGCCAACGTTCCATGTGGCACATCTTGCGTGAGTTCTCCTCTTGTGCCCACACCTCTATGTCTTCTTTTTTCAAATACACATTTAACAATATTTAACAACTAGTAATCATCAGCATCCACATTGTTATTAAAGAGGCCATGAACCACCCCCATCACATTTGGTGTGAAAAACACCTTGGTATGGGTCGGATGTCGCCCATGAATATATAAGCGAAAGAGTTTTTTGAACAGCTACTGCAGGATTACAGAGTAGCATTCCAGCAATATATAAACGCTGGCGAAAATCTGTTTTTCTAAATAAACAGTCTCTCTCTCTACAGCAGGACCAGAGATACAGTGATCACAATATTAGGTTGACACATTCCCTCTCAATCAGCTTCATTCCACAGGGAAGGGCTCCCTTCCTCTCTTTAGGGCAGTGCTGCTGCTGGCAACTCATAGTTCCAGTTGGCTACTTCTCGCTGCACCGTAGTAGCTGTAGCTGTGCGATCTGGCGTAGAATTCTACTCGAGAGAACTTTATGACATTTCAAACGCGCTTGAGTGAAGCCACCATAAGCCGCCATTTTGTACCGGAAGAGAGCGCGCGACCACTTGTTTGCTGTTGGCACGCCAGCATTTTTTTCTTTAGTTTGAAACATTGACTGCCTATAGTGCTGTAAACTGCTAAAGCTGACTAGGAAGGTCTTCAAGGGAGACCTTTCGTTCGCAAGAAGGTATGCCAAAATCGTACAAAACTTCGCTCACTTCACTAGAAAATAAGCAGTGAAGTATAACTGAGAATAGCCCGCATATTAGTCAGCTCCCCTACAAAAAGAACTTGAAGGGCAAGCTAAGCGTAAACCTCATATGTTGCAAATATAGCTTGCTATACTGCAGGCTTTCTCAGTCTGCTTTTACTGTGGCAAATCTCCTGTGCGATGTGCCACTCGTGTGGCATCAACAGCACTGGCGTTGCATAAATCAGCGAATATGTTTACGTTTCCTCACAAGAGCAGATGCCATGATGCATGCGCTCATTACGAGCTATTTTATTCGAAAACCCAGTAGCCCTGTTCTAGTGCCATACACAGTGATCCCACTGGGCAATGTCGATATAGAGCAATTTTCGGAGCAGTCAAACTTTAGTTTTGGAGCACTTTGGAGCAGTAAAATTTTAGTTTTGGAGTATTTTGAAGCAGGTGATCTTGCAATAAGGAGCACCTTGGAGCAGTAAAATTTTAGTTTTGGAGCATTTTGGAACAGGTAATCTACCTATTAGAAGCACTTTACAGCAGTACAATTTTAGTTTTGTAGCAGGTAATCTTACTATTAGGAGCACTTTGGCGTAGGTATATATTCATAATGGATCACTTCGGATATTAAATAGAAGCTGACCTATAACAAAGGATCTCTTTAGATTTAAAAAGGCTTCGAGAACTTTCACGTTGTTCTTTTCACCATCTCAGGTTTACTAATTAGAAAGAAAATATCGGTAATACATTTATTTATAAATTATTTCTGAATTTTGCACTGAAATATCTGCATGTGATACCACGAATTTCAATGTGTATTTTTTTTACTTTAGCGACATTCGCTCAAACTAATTTCCTGAGACTTAGTATGCTGTCTATAGCTATCTCAGAAGCCAGTTTACATTGTTTTTAATACTTAAAAGATGTGTAGGACCTAGTAAAAAATGTCAAAATTTATAAAGTCACAGCAATTGATGCATTAACGCAACTATGTGAAGCCATCCGAATTTTCTATTTGCGTGTATTTTTGCTTACCGAGAGAGTTCTCGTGGCAAAGCATGGTGCTTTTGGAATTATGAAAGCGTAATTTATCAATCTTGAATCTCATTAATTTGAACACACTTAATTCGAACTTCCGGTTAATTAGAACTGACGCTGTGGTCCCGTCAAAGCTATGTGTATTCCAATGGGCCAAGACGCCTAGTAATTCAAACACGCAAGCAGTTGCGACGGTTAATTCGAACATACTGCACTCCTAAAATGCTCTCAGCACAACGTTCAATCCAACGGCGGCATCTTTGACACCTCAATGCAGCGCGCGAAGAAGGAAAAGAAAAAAAGGAAGGGCTGGGGCGAAATGTTTGTTCTCTCTCCAATGCATACCTGCCAACCTGGCAACAGAGAAATTCGTAAAACCCCCGAGCAGGGTGGTGGAGGGGGGTTACAAACTTCTTTTAAAGTGTGTAGCTGCGATATATTTGCCTTTAGGGGCAAGCATAATCATGTTTTGCCACCACAAATCAAATCGGCACACTGAATTATTTCCCCCATATTTCCCCCATATTTGGCACCAAAAGAAAAAAAAAGCAAAAAACATTGTGAAAAACAATGGGGGAGGGGGTCCCAAACGCAAGCGCCAACATTGGCGCTGCGTTCTCATAATGGCTTGGAGTGGCCCAACACATGAGGGTAAGGTTTTTCACTAAGATGAGAGCCTAAAAAGAGGAGCGGCCAAAATTTAGCGTCATCAAAACAACTAGCAAAATATATTTCCGTCAAAACAACTCGCGTATGTTTTCCTGGGACACCCGTCGCAACTGGCTGACGCGAAAGCGCGGGTCAGAGCTTTGGCTTTGCTCGCTACTAGACACTTTGACAGGAATGGCAAAACGTTTCTAGCCTTTTTTTCGTCTTTACCACCTTTCATCCTAACGCTGCGTCAACCATGTGCTCTTGGAGCTCGTAGATCGCTATCGCATTGCCGCGACGGCGGTTTTGTGCGCGGTGGTTTGCGGCAAACGGTACTTTTGTTTTCAATTTATGTGCCTTCAATACTAAGTCGTTTTATGCTATCTATGGTGGCAACTGCTGCAGTTTTCTTCACAGAGTTTGCGGAAAGCAGCGTTGCTTTTACTGGTCGAACGATGGCCGCGCACACACTTTAGTTCTGTCAGCAATGTCGTCGCCATACATGATAGTGTCGAACGAATGCGGTTTTGTCCACAGCAGTTGTGGCAATGACAACCACATGCACTGTACAAGACAGTGCGTGTGCTTGTAGCACGCGTACTTCCGAAGCTTCGAGCACGCTGCTCTCAATCGGCCTTCGTTCGATGGTTTAGGTACTAAAGTTCATATCACACGCCGCGATTAGGAAAAGTGTTCGGAATATTTTAATTTTGGCCCAATGAACACATGAATTTGGCTGGGGACTTTCATGAATTCGTATCTGTCCCGGTTTCGCATCACTGATACTCTACTGTAAGTTTAGATGAACGCCTCTCAAGTTCGTTTATAATGCGGTGGACTCGCAAAAAGCCTGGAACGGATTGGCCTGCATTTTTGTCAACGCAGCCAGATCTCGAACACACATTTCGATTTTCTGGAGATTTTCATGGCAACCCTACACACGGAAGAAACGGTCACAATCTGGGGTCTTCTGAACAATGCGGGAGACTTCGCAAGTATGTGATGATAACAACAATACATATAGTTCTCTCCTGGTGGCAGAATATAGCACGTCGTTTTTGTGGCCTCCGCGACCAGCTACGGCAATGCACCGTAGCCAATTGCGTAGGGCACACTATTTTACAATTTTTGTTTTTTATCGGAAATGAAATATTTTTCATAAATTTCAGGCAAGACTTGTAAGATTGTACGTGCGATCGAAATTTGTACATTTTGCGGAAAAATCGGATGAGTTGGTAGGTATGCAAATGCCGATCTGGAACACGCCTGTGCCATGCTTTTCCCTTTTCCGTCCCTACTACGTAGAGACCCTTCTTGTCTCAATGCCATGCACGGAAAGAGAGGAAAAAAAACTTGTGGAGTGGTGGTGGTAGTGGTTAGAAGAGGAAAGAGAAAGAAAGGTGCCCAATTTTCGCAGCCCGGTAGGGGGCACGATGCAGCGCCTCCGCAGAGTGTTGGCTTTCTCTCAAATGCCGATCTGCGATGCGCCAGTGCCACGCCTCCCTCTTTCCCGTTCCTGACACCTAGGGACCCTTCTCCTTTCAACGCCGTGCGCGAAGAGAGTGGGGAAAAAAAAAAAGAAAACTGCCGTGAAGTGTTGGTTATCTCTGAAATGCCGATCTGCTTTTTCCGCATGAAAACGCTCCTCCTTTCTTGTCACGGGCTGGCCGCACCGCAGCTGCGGTGCAGAGGGTAGCAGCGGAGACGCAGTCGTTGTCGTCTTAACACCTAGTATATATGTGTTATAGGCCTGTTTGCAGGAAGGCAAATAATTCTCTCATTAGACTAGACCGCTGTCTCTGGTAATTAAAACATTAATTAGAATTATGTAAGTACTGCCAGGCCGCAATCACAGTGTCTAGCGATTTTATGATTTCTGATGTCGTACCGGGAGCCACATAAAACTGCCCAGCGAGCCACATGCGGCCCGCGGGCCACAGGTTGCGGAACCCTGAGATGGACGGTTTGGCGCAGTTTAGCGCAATTTCGTCAATTTTATCAGGTTGGAGCAGCAAACTTCGTTTGGCACACTTTGCCGCAGAAGTGGGATCCCTGCATACATGATTATGGGCCAGTGTGGGCCCCTTGTAACATCAATATCAAATTTCCCCAGGAAAGTGCACTGCTTGAGCGTTCCCAGTGATACAAATAACGAAGAATAATGAAGTTGAAATAGTCAGAAACACTATGTCACTGAAAAAAAAAAAAAGAGTTTAAAGTACAACAAGGCTTGTTTATCAACAAAGTTATGAGCTGAAACAGGTTCAGAAATCATATTGCTGAGTACCAGTACTGCTAGCGTTGAGGTTAGCTGACTAATACCGTTGAATGCAAACTATTCAACAGGTATTTTTTTATATTTATTCAACAGGCTAGGTATTTTTTAATATCAATTCGATCAAAAGCTTCCTTAGCTTATTTATGTTCCCGTCCCACTTGCACAACTTTTACTACAAGACCTCTGTCCGTATTGAATAATCTCCACTTTCGCCAACAAACATTCTTACCACCAATACCAGAAACGGCGTCAACTGCTTTCTTTGCGGTGGGCTGGGAACCAATATCCACTGCTTCCAGAATATCTGCAACAAAGTGTAAGCACTGTTACTAAGGAAGAGGTGAGCGATTTATTTCGAAATAATAACATATGATAGCATTGTAATTGAAATTAAACACTATTGACTTGCAGCTCTTTGACTTTTCCCAGCAGAAAGATTGCCTTTTATAACAGCGATCATTGCACATTAATCGCCACTGTCTGCTTTGTCTAGAAAACGTGATAGCCTACTCGCAAAACATCAAGGGCAGTACTTCTGGAAAAATTTATCCATTGACAAGGCAGGAGTTTTCGGCATTTTCCCATTTTTTTTATGCATTAAACTGAGCACAGAGTATCAAAACAGTCATGTTCAGTTCATCAACAAAATAGAAAGGACATAACCAGACATTTTCAGTCTGGAAACATAATTCAACCCTTTTAACACTGTTTCCCAAAAAGAAGAAGCACCAGTCCGTGACTAAGCACCAGCTAGATTCTGGTGCACACTTGAGAGATGCAAGTCTGCCGAAAGTGATTGCTCGTTGAATAGCACTATGCAAGCGAGAATCATCCCATGAAAAAGAAAGCTACCATGTACCAACACATCCATGCACCATGACTCTGACATTCTCACGTGGAGACCTCACTGAATGCAATGAGAGGTCCACACGATGACGGAACTGAGGACTGAATAGTAGCCATACAGTATACACAATTAAATTTGTGCTGTTTGCGGATCTGCAGTGGCAGAGCATGTTCAGTGCTGCTTATTCACGTTCACAAGCACAGTGTCTAACATGAGCACGATGAGATATTCGATAATTCATCAAGCTGAGAGACTTAAGATTATATTGTCTGTTGAAAACAGCATTCATGGGCACAAGGCATGCCATTTGTGGCTCATGCATGTCGGATTCAACATGGCACAGTTTTTATAGACAGTAATTTGCCTTTGCTCTGCCTCGGTAAAGAGCTTCAATGCATGCAAAATTCTGCGAAAAACTGAACTGGTTTTGCATGTACAGCAGTTGGTTTGCATAACACATTGCCTGCAATGTGTGGTGCCTAAAGCATGCAGTGTGTGGTTTGCTGCCGTTTTACGAGACTCGCAGTGCAACGGGACCTCTGAGTAAGATAGGACAGTAGTGAAGACTCCGCTCGTTTGCAAGGGGCACAATCTGCAACACTGGTTCTTGCTTCAAAGTTTGTTCAACAGATGGTGCTACAAATGAAGAAAAACTGAGGAGGAGCGACACCGGTCATCGAGCAGAGCCATGTGTAGGGCTTCTCTCCATCGTTGCTATAGCAATGGCACACAATCACACTTTGCCGCATTCCAACGTATACTTGCCGACCTATTTTGATGAGCACTCTTCGCTTGGTGCTCCTTGCGGTCGCCGCCACCGGCCTCAGCCGTTAAGCTCATGCGCTGATATTGTTGAATGATTTCTATGCACCTAGACACATGGCGTTGTGCGTTGTGAGCAGCACAAGCGAAGGAAAAAGTGTGAAGAGGAGTGGAGGGGGAGAGCTAAAGAATGAGTTTGACCACCAGGTTTATTCTGAAAGAATGCATTGTGCGGGGGTGGAGTCAGCATTCCTGTCTTATCAAACTACGAGGGTGGGTCTAAGCTCTAAATGAGGAAATTTATGTATGTATCATTGCAAGTTCCACAGTGCATCTCCCTTTCTCCCCTCCCAATTTTCCTCATGCTAAATGTGCACGTGAGTGTAAAGACGAAAGTTAGGGGTTACGTGGAGGGGAAAAAAAAAGCGCTGAGGAACACGAACAAGAGGCACACAAGATAGGAACTCATCTACGAAAGTAGTCATGGTTCAACATGGACAGAGAGCATGCTTGCTTTAGGTGAAAGCTTCATTCAGCTTGGTGTCCACTCCAAATTTGTTATTCAAATACATGTAAATAACTAAAACTCCTCTAACTTAACATTTGAATTTAATTAAAGTTGAAACCTAAAAAAATTTAATAACACTTTGAAGTTGAAGGTTTACTATAAGCCTGAATCATTTCAGATTATATTATCAAAAGTTCAAAAGCAAAAAAAAAAAAAGACGTGAGGTTTACAAACATGTAACTCGGCACCAGACACAGACATTGATCTTCTGTACACTGTATCTCGTGGAGCACCCAAAGGTTTATGAATTGTATATGAAAATTCACAATATATAGTTTAACTTGCTTATAATGAACCTCCATATTACGAATTTTTTGATATAATTGTTCTATTCCCCGCCATTACCGAATTGAATCACATGTATTTGTGACCTCTATGCAACAAAGTAACAGCAGGACACATTCTTGATATAACAAATTTCAGCCAAGAACAATCTAGAAATTTTTCAATCTAGGTTATTTTGGCACGAGCATGCATTTTCCGCAGTTGCCCCGTCGCCGATAAAGCGCTAAGCGGCAGCGCCGCGCTCGTTGCCCCAGCGACTCCCAAGCAAGAGCGAGCGCTTGTTATTGAGCACAGGTGGGCGCGAGGCGGGCAGGCGGGCCTGTGCCTCATGAGCCGCTGGCGTTGCCACCGTCCTTTCCACCGCAGGCGTATGCGCGGATGTGCCCACCCCTCCCTCCAAACTAAAAAAAAAAATCACAGCATATCCACGGAGTGAATGATGATGGGCGAAATGTCCGTCAGCCCGTCCGTGCTTACATCCGTGCATCCATCCATGAGTAAATCTGTCTGTACGTGCGTTTGCCCATCCGTCTGCCCGACCGTTCATGTGTTTATCCGTTCGTTTGTCCGTCCGCGTGTCTGTCCATCTGTCCGGTGCCACTGGTGGCTACATACAATAACGGTGGATGGACAGACCCACGCTTTAAGCAGCTTCGCCCCTAGAAAAAAAGGTACTCTAGTGTTGGCACTGCCACGCTTTTAATTAGCGTCACATATGTCGGGGCCACCGTGCATATGAAAGGCGCCTGATAGAATAGCTTTCTGTGGTATCCGTGTCGTTCGCTCTCCGTTTTCGACACCGTGCGCACATGCATGGTTTCACTGCACGAGCATGAAGTGGCCCCTGACAAAATTCAGCTTTGCCTTCTTTCTTTCTTTTTTAAATGCAGACAACCATGTTGTCACCACCGAGGGAATGCCAGATTAGGCGCTGATGGAAACTATTTGACACCACGATGACAATGACAGATCTTCGAAGGTCAAATCGTCACGCGCTTCCATTTCGCACCATGCCGCGAGTTCGCGGGACTCTATCATTTGCGATTAGTTCTGGCAACGACACGACGGCACATCGAATGCAATGCAATGAATTTGATAGAAACAAATAGCAATGTGATATGAATTAAGGCTGGCAGGCAACTCTTTTGTATCCGATATCACGGAACTTCTACAAAACATTAATGTAAGCAAACATGACCACTCCAGGGCAAAGTCACACAGTCTCTTTGCACTGAAAGTGCACTGATGCTTGCCGAGATAGCACGCACGCCAGCGATCATGAACGCGCCCTCAAAATTAAAGTTCATCGTTGCAAGATCTCCCCCCCCCCCCCCACACATTTTGTTCATGCTCGTTCAAGACGTGTGGTTCCTAGTCTGTTTGAGCATTCGACGGCACTTCTTACACACGGGGGGATGTTATTGCATGCGCCCTCCAGGTTATAGAGAAGGGCTGGCTGATTTGATCTCTTCGTGTTACAATGCGCAAGGGCATGTTATCAATTTGGACTTGTTATGGAACATGGTGGCAATGACAAAAACCCGGCAAGAGTGTTCATATAAGTAATAACACAATAATAATGCATCTTCTAGTGCCAAATAAATGTTTTGGGTTACCTCTGCCTTCAGTTCCTGTTATGTTTAATTTGTGCATTTATTTTTCTAATTTTCGTACCGAACCTGCATATAACAAAATCCTCTTTATGATAATTTTTTCCGAGAATTTGTCGATTTGCTTATATCCAGGTTTAACGGTGTGTGAAATTAGTAGCAAGAATGCGTTAGTAAAGGCATCAATAGCAGATATACGACATGTGCAGAGCAGATGACAAAACGGATAGGCAAACAGACCCAAGAACACGGCAAAGCGCGACCGTGTCGTTGCCATAGCAATGACAGACGGAGTCTCTGCCGCAGATCTGCTTGAGAATGAAGTTTCTCCTTCGCCCTTTTTCTCAATTCGTACCGCCATCTGGCGAACAGGCCGCTAAACATGGGAAGGCGTTGCAGAAGGTGTCCCTTCCAGACAAGCGGAGTCGGCACTCTGGTCTTATTTTACTCCATGACAGCGAAATTATCAAACACACATGCTTTACACCTGCTCCCTCGCCTTAGAGCTTTGCGTTATCTGCAAGTTATCTATTGTAGAGAATGGCATAAAAACAGCAAAACAGCAAATCAGCAAACACTGCACATAGCTTGTTGAAGATTCATTCCCAAATTACCTCCTTGGTCGTGGCTGCAAGGGGCAGAGCCACCTCTTGTTTTAGAATGTTTCACTTTGGGCTGTGCTGAAAAAGAAAAAAAATACATGGCTTATTTCTAGGACCCATTTTTTTCTTATTTAAATCTCGTGCCATGCAAAGAAAAATGGCAGCAAGTTAAGTTTGTACAACTTCACTTTTATGCTCAGTGACATTGCGGTTCATTGTCGGGCAGGGCCCAGTAATGCAACATTGCTGGAGCAGTCCACTGTCAGACACCTCCAGACAAAGGTGCAGGCTGTTTAACTTTCATGGTTTTTCTTAGTGTGATTTGCACACATTGTTCGTTTACTTGATGCACCATCTTTTGAGAGATATGTGAGCTTTGTTTGTTGATGTTTACTTCTATTTTACACTAGGGTGCAACACAATGTTCAGAAAGGCTTCTGAAGCCCAGAGCACTTTGCCATGCGTGTCGTTCATAGAGAAGCTAGCCACATTTTCACCGTGTGTGTTTTAAGGTGGTGAATTTAGTGAAAGCAATGACAACTTTAGTGAGAAAAGAAATTACATGCCTCCATGAGATAGTAATGACAGTGATTTTATAGCATAGATCTGCCTACAAAGTCATCTTCATTTTTGGGTGTTCTTACAAATTTTATAATTATTAGGCCCACAAAAGCTGCATATTTAATTTACCTTCTATAAAATCACAGGTGCAACAAACATAGACAGAATTAATTAAAGGTGCATTCATCCAATTTTTGGCAAGCACTAAGACTTTTGACAATGTAAAAGAAGATTGTAAAATGAGCCTTGAGTTAAAATTTTCTTTCAATCGGTGCAATAAACCTCTTTTATCTATGAGCATTTAATGACCATTTTAGTACCCATCAAGTCCATGGCTTACAATGCGTGATGGTTTACGTCCCATTGCAGACTCGGTCATTCAATACTCGCGCTCGCTAGGCCACCTATGCTGGTGTGCCAGAATGGCCTAAGCCACCTGGTAACCTGACTGAATGTGCACATCTCCTCATCTCCCCTTTCCCGTAAAACTCGCGGATCCACGAGTACCTGTGAGTATGCCGTCAGAAGAATGACCTGAAATAGTGAGACACTTCTATGAAAGTTTGATGAATTTTACGTTTTTGAAACTCTTCAAGAATGCCGAGAATTTATGATGCAATCTCCTCGTTTACATAATTTATTGAGCCCCTCAACCCCTTCTCAGGTTCATTAACACAGGGTTTTCTATAAATACACTAGAGAGAACTCTTGCGCTAGTGTCTACGAGAGCTGCAATGCACGGCGTTTCAGCGAGCATGAAAAAAATGGGTAGTACACAGATTTGTGTAATCTTTGTACTTCTGGCTCCATTTGCGTTCCCGTGGCTTGAAGCTGTTTTTTTCATGAAACGAAATCGACAAGTGCTCAACAGTTGTGCTTCACCACCTAAATTTTTTAAAGGGACATTAAGGGCAATCATTAAGTCCACATTGATTGTCGAAATAACGGTTCAGAAACATCGCCGTGTTACTTTTGTGCCAAGGAAGTGCTTATTTTGAAACGAAATTACATTTTAGTGGTCTGCATTGCGTTCCTGCCTCAACTTTCTGCCCGACGTCACTGTTGCCATGCACAACGTTGCCCAGCTTTACTGCACGGCTGCGGACGCTAGTAGCAGCACAGGGAAAGTAGCGGGAGCCACAGCAGCAACAACGACCACTGAACAATGTTTAGACATGGCCTTCAAGATGCAGGCGTGCTTGGTTCCATTGGGCCCCGCTAGATGGCATGATCTGTACAGTTTACCCAAGCAAAAAGTAAATTTTTGAACCACTCACGCCATTCCACACAGTAACGTCTGGCGGTGCTTTTTTCCAGAAATCGAACAGAAATGGACAAGCAGGGTTTCATTATGTCTCTTGATGCACGAAAGGTTTATTTAGTGCAGCTAGTTAGATTACTTGTGATTATTTGTAGGCGGTACCTCTGATGTAATGGGGATGATTTTGCCAATGTCCAATCGTAGCACACATGTTTTCATGCATTTACCTTCTTTTCTCGACAATTAGGGCACTGCTGATGATAGTATTGTCATTTTAGACGTCATACATTGAGCTTTCACTCTGACATAAATTGTTATTTGACTTCAGTGTCCTTTTAACCTTACCATTTCAAATCGAGTCACAAAGTGCAAAAAGGTTCGTTCTTTTTTTTTTAAACAAAAGCAATAAACAAAGGAACAAGTGCGATTCAAGGTCCACAAGTACAAAGACTAAGCAAATCTGTGTAGTACCTATCATTCGCATGGTTGCTGAACAATCGCAACGTCAGAGTCCCTTCAAGTTAATTTTAGGCAACACTATGTTCATTAGGTGTTAACTTTGATGACTGCTCGCACTTGCAGCAAATACAGACAAAGATGTAGTTTGTTTATGCCCAGAGGGCAACACCTACTTCCCCATCAAGGATGGATGTTCGCACAACACAAGAGTGAAAGTTTTTGATCACGGAGCACTACAGTCTATCTACTGTGAAGCCTGTTTCATGTGCATGCATTCATCATATGTATGGCTGCTCACCATCCATCAACCTCCAATTGAGCAGAGGGTCATAGACAAAGGCTTCAAGGACAGCCATAAGACTGTCCTTGTTCCCACGCAGGACCTTCATCACCTTTGCACAGGTCATTCGATATGTGCCCTCAATGCCAGTCACCTATGCAGACAAAAATATCAAGGGTTACAAAAGAAAATTTTTCTTGCAAATTCTATGCGAGAAAACTTGAGCACATCTTCCACAAGATGGGCTAGCACAGTGGTTCTCAGTCTCAGAGGTGTTGGAGCCCCCTGTCGACTGCTGAAAGTGATGGGTGAGCAAGGGTTATAAATGTTCACAACATGCAGTATGAAACAGGGGTCCTTTATTGCTAGCTTGCAAACAATTGTCAAACAGAAGTGCCACATCAATTCGACCTAAAGCCCTTATCAATGAGTTGTGCACTCTTCAGCCACATTCAACCTGCTTCTAGCTTTTTCAAGAATGCAGGCCTGGAAAAGGCATGCTCACATGCATAAGTCATAGAAAACTGTAGCAAAAGTTTTACAGTTATGACTGTGAAGAATGGGAAACACCTCTGCAGTCATAATGCCTTAGAGCTTGCTACGGGAAATGTTGCCTTCATCGGTTTTCTTGTGGACTCCACCAACTCATTTTGTTCAGCTTCAAAACATTCATGTGCAAATCAAGTCATGCCAGCTACATAAGTTCTTGATATCATCATCTTCAGAGGTGTACTGAGTTAAGGGAGGATGAAAGGGCCTTATAACAGCACAAAATCGTAAAAAATGACTTCCAGAAATTGCAATTTGAGGTGTTTATAGTTCAAAGCATGTTTTGTAAAAATCTTTTATTATGGCAGAATACCACTTCTTTTTGTCGAAAGCTTATTAGATGAAATTACAAATGTATTTAAAACTTCAAATGTAATTTTCCTGGCATTTTTATTTTTGTGAAGTGAATCTGCCTTGAGGGAGTTTTGAGAAAGTTTCTGTGAAGATATCTCAACAAACTTGGTACCATTCTTATCCACAGCATTCGAACTACAGGCTAAAGCTTTTCTTTTTCCTTCAACCTTGATAGAATTGTAACTACATGATAAATGCCAAATATACACTGCAAGCTTATTTTACCTTCCCAGTTTCAAAATTATTTCTGATCAAGGAAATAGCCGTTTCGACACCTAGTTTGCTTTAGCCTGTGGGATGGACCTTTTAGAGGAACCATGCAGTTTTGAAAACTAACTTTTTTATTGCGAGTTACCATAACGACCTATAGAAAATTAACTAATTATAATCTGGAAAGTTGTCATTACTTCTCTTTTAAATGAGATATTTGAAATCTAATTGCAGATTTGCAATCTCTATCCAATAATACACATGCATGATAATTTTCATAATAATAAGATAATAAATAAAAACACTTTTCAGGACCCTCATCCCCCTTAACAAAGACAGGATGAATAAAATATGGGACAGAATACATCGAGCTAAAACTACCAACTGGTTTATCATCCGAGACAAAAAGAAATTGTGGCCTCGTCAAACACACACACTAATGTTCATAAAAAAGATTGACAGGGCAGGGCATTGCAAAAGCCGGAGACAATGAAATGGATGTAAAAAATGAATGTCATATTTAGACAATCCCTGATAATTTTTATAGTTTTTGTGGCACTACCACATACCCCACAAAGACAAAGTATAAGGACGTCTGATATTCTAGATTATAAAAGTCTTTGACATTTGATTTTTGTGATCGTCTGCACTGATTGCATGTCTCAAGTGAAATTAATTTTTTTAACTACTGCTACTGTGTTGAGAAAGAAAAGTGGACAAGGTAATGGCAACTGCCGTAGCTTAGTGGTAGACGATCAGACGTCTTACTTGAAGGCCATAGGTTCTGTCCACGTTAAACTATCTTTTCGGCCACTTCTTCACATTTACATTACACTTGCTAGTAATAACCTTCCTTGGCATTATTGTCTCATAGTTCTCGATGATATTAAGTAAAAAAAAGTGAGCTCTTAGAGCTTTCACTTCTTTTCTTCGTGAATGAACCTGGTGACTCGAGCTTCAGAGCTGAGTAAGCTTTATCAATCAATGAGTGTTATCATGACAGAAAAGGATTAATACAAAGTATAAAATATACAGACGAGGGTCCTAAAGTTCGCGACTGCAATGGAACTCTCGGTTCTGGTTGCAAATGAATAAAAAAATTATAAGCAAAGTAAGCAAGGAATACACATCAAATCAAAGTAAGGAATACGCAATGAAAATGGAAAGCAAAAAGCAGGAAACCAAAAACACAGCATATAATGAATAAACTTTAAAGCAGCACAACTCTGGTAAAATTGAACAAACAAGGAATGCATAAACGACCATCGAAACAAAAGCGTCGCCGTTGCTGTGGTAGCTGAGGTAGGTACGAATGACAGTGATCACACCGAGAAGTTCGCGCGAACTTAGTACTTGCCTTTGTTGCTTTCGTCAGTCTTGTCATTAGTCTCATATTCTTTGCGCACACTTTCAATGGTAGAGTATTAGGGACTGCTAGCAAGCAGTCTAGGCTTGTGCAAATGTTGAAAGGTTTGACTGTTTGAATTCGCTTTGATATAAATTTATATTATTGAGATTTTTGAAGTATTTGTTTGACGCCCCCCCCCCCCCCCCCCACACACAGTCACAGTCACAGTCACGGAATCGTGACGTGAACGAAGGAAGCAGAACAGAGCGTCAACCGTCGATCTGCTGACAAGCGGCGATTCGTGTAGACATTTATACCCTTGCCATCGAATATTTTAGCGTTATCGCTAGCAGCGACATAGGTTCCCAAATAATCTGTGACGTTCTCAAAGTGGGTGTAATCTTAACAAAACGATCTACTAAAGCCTTGAAGCTTCTCGAACATCATAGGCACGGTTTGCACTGAATGTAGTGTAACTGGGTGATAACAAAACTTGAGGAAAAGAACGTGGCATTGCCCCCCTCTGAAAGAGGCATTGTCCCGGTGCTTTAGCAGAAGACGAAGGTAGAATGATAAAGACAAACAATAAATACAGCAACAACAACAAAATGCAATCCTCAGGTTCGCGCATGAAATGGCTTGAGACACACGACATGGACGACTTCAGGTCGAGCACGGAGCCGTTGAGAGTTTATAATACTGTCGGAAACGACCTCATAGTCGAGTGGGACGAGACGTCAAACTACTCTGTACGGTCCGAAGTACCGTCGCAGAAGTTTTTCACTGAGCCCACGTCGGTGTATCAGCGTCCATACCAATACACGGTCCCCGGGCTGGTACTCAACAAAGCTTCCTCGAAGATTGTAACGGCGGCTGTTGGTCGCCTGCTGATTTTTGATGCGCAGGCGGGTGAGTTGACAAGCTTCTTCAGCGCGCTGAAGGTAAGTGATGACGTCAAGGTTCTCTTCGTCAGCGACGTTTGGAAGTCGAAAGTCGTTGCCGGGCTCCTTCCATAGACCAACTTTTACGGCGTCATCTGCGTTGTTCCTTGAAAGGCCGTATTGTACCCGAAGGTCACGTACGGAAGGATGGCGTTCTCATGTCTTGTGTTCAACGTCGACGTACATGGCCAGCATGTCGGCGATTGTCTTGTTTAGCCGCTCGGTGAGAACATTTGTCCGGGGGTGGTAGGCGGTGGTGCTGCAATAGCTTGTCTGGCTGTGTCTCAAGATCACTTGGGTCAAATCAGTAGTAAAGGCAATATGTTTATCGGTGATGACAACCTCTCAAGCGCCATGACGAAGGACGATGTTCTCAACGAAGAACTTGGCTACCTCTTCAGCGCTACCTTTGGGTAGGGGCTTTGTTTTGGCATAGCAGGTGAGGTAGTCAGTAGCTACGACGATCTATTTGTTTCTCAATTTCGATGTCGGAAATGGCCCCAGTAGGTCCATTCCGATTTGTTGGAATGGTCGGCAAGGTGGTTCGATCGGCTGAAGAAAGCCTGCTGGCCTTGTCAACGGTGTTTTGCATCGCTGACAGTCTCGGCATGTCCTCACGTAACGAGCGATGTCAGCGGTGAGGCGCGGCCAGTAGTACCTTTTTTGTATCCTCACGAGCGTGTGCAAAATACCAAAGTGTCCTGCCGTTGAATGATCGTGCTGGGCCTGGAGGAGTTCTGGTCACAGAGCTGAAGGCACCACAAGAAGGTAGTTTGCTCGAAGCAGCGAGAAGTTCTTCTTTTGCAGAAGGCCGTTTCACAGTGAAAGTGACGTAAGTGCCCGTTTGAATACCTTGGGAACAGCGAAGGTTCTGCCCTCAAGGCATTCGATTAGGCCCCTAAGTTTCGGGTCAACCTGCTGGCGTTCAGCGAAGTCGTCAGCAGTTATCATTTCCAAGAAGCAGTTGTCATTCCAGTGTTCGGGTGCCGGTGGGTCGATGGGGGCTCGTGACAGGCAGTCGGCGTCGGAGTGTTTTCTGCCTGACTTGTAAATGACAGTAATGTCATATTTTTTTAAGTCTAAGGCGACCTGGATGATCCTTCAATTTAGCTAGCCAACACAAGGTGTGGTGGTCGCTCACAACCTTGAAGGGCTTGCAGTAGATGTAAGGACGAAACTTTGTCGTCGTCCAGATGACGGCAAGGCACTTTTTTTCTGTTGTGGAATAATTGCTTTCAGCGTTGGATAGTGACCGGCTAGCGTAACTAATAACCCTTTGCAGTCCGTCAGTTTTCTGCACAAGGACGGCGCCGAGTCCTACGCTGCTTGCGTCCGTGTGCACTTCTGTTTCGGCGTTTTCGTGGAAATGCACGAGTAATAAAGGTGTCTACAGGCGTCGTTTCAGTTCCCCTAATGCTTCCTCCTGTGGGGTTTCCCACTTGAACTCGACGTCAGTCCTCGTAATGTTAGTGAGGTACTCGGCGATGTGGGCAAAGTCTTTGATGAAGCGCCTGTAATAGGCGCACAGGCTGAGGAATGACGCACGGCCTTTTTGTTGGTGGGCGGCGAAAATGCAGCAGTGGCGGCTGTCTTCTGCGAATCGGGTCTTACTCCGAACGTCTTATCACGTGGCCCAAGAACAAAAGTTCCTTGTAAGCATAGTGGTATTTTTCCGGCTTCAGGGCGAGTCCGGGAGTCTTAATGGCTTGAAGTACAGTTTCAAGGCGCCGAAGATGCTCATTGAAGCTTGAG